GTGTGTGTGTGTGTGTGTGTGTGTGTGTGTGTGTGTGATGTGTTTCCATTTTCTCCATGTGTTGACATGGGTTTCCTCTGAGTGTTCTGCTTCCCATAACACTCCAAAATGTGCAGATAGACAAAGTAGCCCAAAGTGCATGGATGGCTCCTTGGTACCCCATCCAGAACGTCACATGCCCTCACCTCAGCCTTGCATTGGATACATGGTTATGGAAGGTGAAGGGATCCTGGAGAATCTGCCTGTCTGTGGTACGGCCACTTAGACCCCCATAGGACCCGACATCGTGTGGCAGCGTGTGGCTCTTCACTCCCTACCCAGAACGTATCATATGAAGGTGGACGTTCCTAAGCGGGGGAGGAGGAACAGGGGCTGGGAACCGCCTGAGAGACTCGCCTTCTGTCCATGACGTACGGCGTCCCGTCCACCCACTCCCAGGTCCCGGTCCGCTCATCTGTCAGGCCGATCCAGTAATATTGCGGCATGGTTCTCCTGCTCACGAAGGTCTGCCGGGGCAGCAGTGAGGAGGAGTGTGAGACCAGAGCAGGAGACGCATCTCATAAATGGGAACTTGCTCCGTAATGGATAAAATCAAAGGTCCCAGTCATCCAAGCCACAAACTGCTCACACTGCTACCGTCTGATGGGAGTGTCCATCAGAATGCTGAATGCTGGCCATTAAACACATTCACTGCCTATTACTCCAACTGTCTGTTTGTTGTATCTGCCTCTGAAGTTGCACGCTGTTCTGGTTGAAAAGGGAGAACATTGTAACTGCATATTTTATCTGAATGGAGTTATGACCAACATTGGTTAGATAAGAATTTATGTCATTTACCTACTTACTACACATGAGTAGAGAGTCAAAAAACTTTGAAGCCCTTTTTTGCAGGTTTGGTGTCAGTGTATTTGCGGTGTATTTATTGTTGTACATTTACTGGTTTTGTACACTTCCAGTTGCACTCCTTGGCTCTGCTGTTGTGAGATTTGTACACAAGTGTTTCACTCGCCCGCACTCTACCAAGTGTCAGGTGATGCGACAGAGTGACTTGATCTGAGTAGCATGCAAAATGGATCTATTCTTTTGGACGGGTATGGATCCCATGAAGCAATAAGAGGTCTGTCGGCCTTGACCCACCCACTCTGCGTCGTCTCTCAGCATCACCAGGGAGGAATGCTTGCTGGTGCAGTATTCTTTTGCCGAGTCCCAGGACATGGCCTGCCTGGAGAAATAGTAACAGGCGGTGGAGTAGAACGTCCAGTCGACTGGACAGCAGCCTGCTGTGCTGACTGGAGAGGAAGGAGGCATTTGATCATTGGGCGTCCCTTTGGTGCAAAGCCGCAGAGGCCGAAAACCCGCTCTGCTCAACCCCGAATCCGCGATGGCTCGCACTGCGTCAAGATCTCCTAACTCATATTTTTAAATCGGCCATTAAGTGTGACGTTCCTGTTTCAAGTTACAGTGGAACAGTGAAAAAGAAAGAAGTAATTAATGTAGACGAGTAGTTATAAATAACATTAATAAATGCAGTGGAGTAGTAATAAATAACAGTAATTGATGCAGTAGAGCAGTAATAAATAGCATTAATAAATGCATTATTAACTATAGTAGAGCAGTAAGCAGTAATAAATAGCAGTACTAAATTCAGTGGAGCAGATAACAACCTGTCACAGAGTCCAGTTCTTCCGTCATGTGAAAAATAAAGAACACCCTCTTTCAAATGTAACATTTTATGTATCAGGACATAATAAAAAATTGTCTGGCCCTTAGCAGGTCTTAAAATTAGGTAAATACAACTTCAGATGAACAGCAGCACATGACATTACACCATGTCATTATTTATTTAAAAAAATCAAAGCTGTGTGTGAAAACTGAAGAGGGTAAGAAGCAGCCAAGTGCAGCTAATCACATGCACTTGATTAATTGAGCATCAGCAAGCGTGACGACTTCTATAAAAACTGAGGTTTTGGTGGTTTACTGCTTTGGAGCATTCAGGTATGTGTTAACTCAATGCCAAGGAGGAAAGACATCAACAATGATCTTAGAGAAGCAATTGTGGATGCCCATCAGTCTGGGATGGGATAATTGTAAGGCCCTTTCCAAACAATTTGAAGTCCATCATTCTACAGTGAGAAAGACTATTCAGGAGTGGAAAACATTCACAACAGTTGCCAATCTTCTCAGGAGTGAACGTCCCAGCAAATTCACCCCAAGGTCAGATCATGCAATGCTCAGAGAAATTATAAACACCCGAATCGCTACATCTCAGACTCTATGGGCCTCAGTTAGCATGTTAGATGTTAAAGTTCATGGCAGTACAATTAGAAAAGGCCTGGACAAGTCAGGGTTGTCTAGAAGGGTTGCCAGGAGCCTCTTCTCTCTACAAAGAACATGGCAGCACGGCTTAGGTTTGCAAAGCTGCATCTGAACAAACCACAAAACTTCTGGAACAATGTCCTTTGGACAGATGAGGCCAAAGTGGAGATGTTTGACCATAATGCACAGCGTTTCGGCATAGACACCTCATACCCTCTCTCAAACAAGCTGACTCGTTCTTTTTCTATATTGTTTGCCATGCCGGGTGGGGTGGGGGAGCAGCCAGTTGACCCTGGACCCCCAGAGGTTTTTTTTCTCTCCTCTGTTTTTGGTTCCTCTCCTCTTTTGCCATCTTTCTTTCTTTTCTTTGTCTCTCCTTTTCCTTTCTTTTTGTCTTATTCTCTCTTAATGATGCTGTAAAGTATCAAAGCACCAATGAAAAGCTCTTGGGGGTGACACTGTTGTGAAAAGCACTATATAAAAATAAATGTAATTGAATTTAAATTAATGATTTGGGCTTGTTTTTCAGCCGCAGGACCTGGACACTTTGTAGTCAACTATGAACTTCTGTATACCAAAGTATTGTAAAGTCAAATGTGAGGCCGTCTGTCTGACAGCTAAAGTTTGGCTGAAATTGGGTCATGCAACAGGACAGTGATCCCAAGCACACCAGCAAATCTACAACAAAATGACTGGAAAAGAAAAGAAGGTTTTGCAATGGCCCAGTCAAAGTCCAGACCTCATTCTGCCTGAACCTTTGAGTTGTGCATAATCAAATGCCCACAAACCTCAATGAACTGAAGCAACGTTGTAATGAAGGGTGGGCCAAAACTCCACCACAACAATGTGGGAGACTGAAAGTCATACAGACAACGATTTAAGTTATTAAGTTATTATCGTGGATCTACAAGCTATTGAATCACACATGGCTTCTCCAGTTTGGCTTAATTTTTGTTAAATAAATAATGACACAGTGGAATCTGTGTGTTTTACTCCTGAGGTTAGATTTAAGTAATTGTAGAAACCGGTAAGGACCAGGTTTTTTTTTTTATTATTATGACCTGATATGGAAAATCGTAGAACTTTCTTTTTCACATGCCTCCACATATGATGATGATTACTTCTCTGCTATACATAAATTGGTTTAACTGCACAATTTAAGCCCACAACCCAGTAGGATAAGCGGGTTGGAAAATGGATGGATGAATGTACAATTTAAGACTGGGAAAAAACAACTAAAGACTAAACTACAGCAATATGGATATAAAAAGAATAACAATAATATAAAATACCACCAAAGGTGATGATGAATCATACTGTGCAGCACAAACATTGTACATAGATCATCACCTCTTACCGTTTTTGGTCATTTTGTCAATGCTGCATTTCAGCTCTGAAACTTGGGTCTTCAAAGGTTCTAGTTCATCAATTGCCTTCAGGGACTTGATGACTGCAGTGACCCACAAGAAACATGACAATGAGTGGTACCAAGATGGGACGAGGCCACATGGCAGGGTGGTCAGGCCTGTGCACTAATATTACAGTCATGGAGAAATAACTGAAATCCCTGATAACATCATCCAGTAAGTGATAGTGACATTGTTAACAATTAAAATGAAATTAATATTGATAATGGTCGATAAACAGAGTGTAGGTTACTTTGGACGCACCAGAAGTCAGCTGGTTTTCAACGGTTTCCATTGAGACTTTTAGCTTGCTGATATCTGTGTGGAAGTTCTCATCTGGGGAGGGGAACATTGCACATCAGGGTTTTAACCACACACCCTCCTGTTAGCCGTGTTTCCTCACCGCCCGGAATCGCTGTTTAAAATGCCAAATTTGTCCTTGATTAACTAGCTACATTTCCAGTTCTATTAAATGGATTTTCTGTAAGCCTATATTAACCCACAGTGATGGTGATAAATAATTAAGTGGGTGGAGTGTAGCACAGCAGGCTTTGTCCGTGAAGGGTGTGGGTTCGAATCCCGTGACCGGCACAGTAATTATATCACTGCTGTGCCCTTCAGCGAGGCCCTTAACCCCAACTGTCTGACCATGTTCTCTGACCCAAACCAGTATGTCAGTTTGGACCAAGCAATCTGTTAAAGTAATGTTTACAGCTGCAAAGATATTCTTTATGTAGATTTGTAGATGAAAGGTGAAATGGATAAGAGCAGAATATACTCTAATGTAACTTTTTAATTAGAAATGGATTGCAAGCTCCTTTGAGGATTGCTGACATTCAAATGCACCCATTAATATACAGTAACAATAAGTTTAGCACCTTATTACTGAATGGAGTGAGCACCAGCCCAGTTGGGGACCATCACAAAGACAGAATGACACATGCAGCTCCTCACCAGTGTCCTTTCCCATGTGCAGCTTGGTGGTGACGGACGTCAGCAACGTGCTGATGTTGGCCACGGTGTCCTCCAGGACTGTGAACCTTCTGTCCACCTTGGCATCTGCCAGGGACATTTTGAGCAGCAAAGACAACAGAACCAGCTTTGAGCATGATAAATGAGACGGGCAAGCGTGGCAACCCAGTGCAATGAGTGACCGGGTACAGTGTTCTAATCAAAGAACGATCTGAGCGTGGCAACCCAGTGCAATGAGTGACCGGGTACAGTGTTCTAATCAAAGAACGATCTGAGCGTGGCAACCCAGTGCAATGAGTGACCGGGTACAGTGTTCTAATCAAAGAACGATCTGAGCGTGGCAACCCAGTGCAGTGAGTGACCGGGTACGGTGTTCTAATCAAAGAATGATCTGAGCGTGGCAACCCAGTGCAGTGAGTGATCCTACTGATGTACTAGTACAGTAAATGGCTGGAGTATAGTAAACCAGTACATTGTTATTCAGGTATGATGTGTTAGTACTAGTACAGTAAATTACCTGAGTATGGTATACTGGTATGTTGTGTGATTTGAATATGGTATACTAGTACAGTAAATGACGAGTATGATAAACCAGTAGCATACTCAATCTGCAAACTCACTGCTGACGGACAGGGCGATAATGAGACTCAGCAGCAGCAGTATAGACACGGACAGGACCGCGCACAGCTGTGACGGTGCCCTGCCTGCACGCCACGCTGAGGTCGTCGGAGGTGCGGGATCTGAAATGGAAGCAAGGGCAGACATTTAAAGCCATGTGTGGAGCAGAAGACCCCACATGTGGCGCAGGAGAGCTTCTGAAGCCCGCTACACCAAAAAAATAGCCGTTAAGAAAAGAACACAGAACCAAATCACTGAACACCAGCAATGACACGTTTCTCTCAACCCAGTCCTTGGGGACCCCCAGACAGTCCACGTTTTTGTTACCTCCCAGCCAATCAAGGACACTGAACCTAGTATGAGTGTGTTGTGAGCTGGAAGGGAGCAAAAACGTGGACAGTCAAGGGGTCCCCAAGGACCGGATTGGGAAACGCTGCATTAACTGAGCTCCATTCCTTGGTTTCTTATTGCCCTTCTCAGTTTTTTCCCACCTTTTTTCCAGAAGACTCTGTCCTCATTAGTGTCCATACATTCAAAATCATCTCGATATTCATTATTCCTCGTCTCTGGCTCCTTCATGGTCGTGTGAAATCTGAGAGAAATTAATGGTGTGACCAAATAAACCCAGCAAAGGCAGAAGTGAAAGTTTACCAAGAAGTGAAAATTGGCTGCTGGCTCTTATTTTCTTGTGAATATACATGATTCAGGGAGACTCATTTCTTCTAAGAAAAAAGACAGAAAGACGCGAATTTAAGGTGAACTTAGCTTCAGGCGGCACTCTGTGTTTCTCATAATACCAGATTATATATGAAGCCCAGACTCAACGCAAACCAAAATGCACCTTTCGCTCCCACTGGTGTCTATTTCAACCAGAACCCGGCACACAAGCTCTAAACTCCATGATCTGAAATGGAGCTTTGTGCCGGGGTGACTTGAATTCTGCTGCCTGTGCATTTGCACTGACTCCCCCCCCCCCCCACCGCCCCAGGGAGCTGGCCTGTGGTGACACAAACATCAAACCCTCTGCTTGTTCTCCGGTGCTGACCCACTAAATCACTTCTCCTGTGAATTATCAGACCACCACAATAGAACAAAGATGGACGAACTCAAGGGAGTAAAGTTGAATGAAATATGATTTGTGTGTAAATACGATTAAAGAACTTCGTATTAGTTATAACACATTACAATATGTGCAAAATTCTGCACTCCTGCTTAGAATAGAATAGAGATACTTCATTAATCACTGTGAGGAAATTCCCGTTTCACCTCCCCCATCTTGCTGTCCATGAAACTCACAGACAGATCAGAGCAAGCTTGGGGAGGGGTGGAGGAGGGGGACACAGCACAGGGTCAGCCAGCGTGTGCCCCCCCCCCCTTGAGCTGGGGTTGAGGGCCTTGCTCGGACCTAACGGTGGCATCTGTCTGCTCACTCTGGGATTTGAACCGGCGATCTTCCGATCACAAGCACAGCCCGCTGAGTCGCATTTCTGTTAAATTTCCGATTCTAAGATTGATTCATGATCTATTTATCGTACATAAAGTGTTCACAATACCTTTTATCCTAGATATGAAATAATATAGTCTATCTTACCTTAAACAAAATGACGATTATAGTCCATGTGTCTGGTCTTTACAGTCCTCTCCTATCCATATACACCTGAGCCATTACACAACCACCCCCGCATTACGGCAATGTACATGATACCATATCCATCAGTTGTAGGGTTTATTGCCCTGTCTCATTTCACACTGAATACTTCACATTCTCCAGGCCTTTCAGCAAGCATGGCATTACAGAAACACCAATATTAATTATCTCGGTCACTCATGGCCCTGCCCAGGGGACAATGTAACCTCCGTCTTCCTGTACTTTGGGCTAATTTGTCTTTTTTAAACTCGTGCTCCAGAATATGTTGCACGTTCCTTTGTTGGTTGGGTTATCAGCAAGTCTTGTACATCCCATCTCTCGGAGAACCTTCAAAACCACAGAAGAGTCTGCTAACTTCTGCTTGCACTCACCCAAGCCCACCATGGCTGACTTACCACAACGGCGCCGACCAGCAAACATCTGTGGGAATGTGCTCTGTGGATCTGTTTGACTGAGACGGAGACACACTGCTTTTCCCCTGCGCTTTGAGCGCACAAGCATCATCTCTGTTTACCAGCAGAGCAAAGTCAACAGGGCAAGGGTTAGCGTTCATGTTTGTCCAACGCTGGGGACCAAACACAAGAAAAATATCCACATTTCTTTTGCCATAGAAACATTCTAACCCAGTCTGGCGTTTCAGCCCGTTTCACTGTCTGTCATCATTTGTCTCTCAGGCTGCATGGTCACATTGTATGGACAGGTGTATAGTATTGTACTGTACTGTATGTACACAGCGAAGCTGTAAGGGTAATATTTTTCAGTTCAAAATTCTTTCTATAACACAAAGGGTGGTATATGGTGCAGTGGCCTGTGCCTATGGTTGGAAGGTTGCCAGTTCCAATCCCAGTGTTGGCAGATTTCACTGTTGGGCCCTTAATGTTCTGGGGACTGTCTGGGCTTGCCTCCTCAAAAAAAGAATATGCTGCTTTGGATACAAGACTTGTTTATATTATATTATATATTATAAAACCATGACAATCAAGATTTAGTCATCTGTATATTCAGTACACGCTTTATTAACAGTCCTTAACCCTTGTATTGTGGCTGTTGTTAATGTTAATGGCTGCACTTCCCTATTGTCGCACGTGTGTTTGCCCGTGTCTTGTGTGTACCCGGTCCGATCCTCACATGTATTTAGCGTGTGTAAATCTCCCACCGTGTGCGTCTTGTACTTCGGCGTCTGACAACCTTGTGTTTTCCATCTGTGTATTTGGGTTCGGTGCTCGTTGGGTGCCTGTTGTTCTCCTTCCATTTACAATTGCATGTGGGGCATGCTGGGACATGCTGGGGCATGCTGGGACATGCTGGGGCATGCTGGGACATGCTGGGACATGCACCTCACCGGTGCTATACTAGTATACAGTATAAAAAAAAGGAATCTGTTCAAGTAATCCGTTTGTCGACCAAATTTTGTACACAAACCAATGCATTTTTTTCATGAAATATTTGGTCGCGAATCAAATTGTTCGTAGGCCAAAGTGTTCATGAACTGTAGGCACAACTGTGTACAGAGTATAGAAACTACACTTAAAAAAAAAAAAAAAAAAATCTTTGTTCATAAATTTGATTCCCCAATGGGAGAAAAGTAACAACTGAAGTTAAATCGTACAGAACGTGGTTTATTACCAATTACACAATTTTGTAATTCTATAACAGTACTTACTATTTTTTGCATTAATCATGACAATACTTTATTGATCCCTGTGGAGAATTTTTCTATTCAACTACCCCATCTTACTCTCCATGACACACATGTAGTGAGAGCAAGTTTGACAGCGAAGGGCAGCCACCTGCGGGGGCAGCCATGGAGCTGGGGGTTAACGGCCCACAGACATGACCATCCTGCGGAGGTCGGGCTTGAACCGGTGACCCTCCGATCACAGGCACAGGGGTGCAATCCACTGAGCCACATGCCGTTCCTAAAAACCATAATTATACTATAAAACTTTTTTTTTTCTTTACTTCCATTATTTGTTGATTCATTTTGGGTTCCGTGGTATTGGGCAGGGGTTTCCATTACGCTCTACAATGGTTTAATGTGACAGTATACCACTTCCCTCCTCTGGGTTACAATTGTTACATTCTGACAAACCTGCTGTAAGGCAAAAAAAGCATTTTAATACGGTACACTTAACCTAACAAACATCATACCCTAGGCTAGCCTACCTTAAAACATGTTTAGAACACTTACATTAAGCCTACAATCCGGCAAAATCATTAACACGAAATATTTTATAAAATGTTGAATGTCTCATGTAATTAAGTGAATGTACTAAAAGTGAAAAAACATTTACCCGTTGTAAAGTCGAAATGTTGTAATGTTCACATCGTAACCCAGTGTTACACTGTAACCCAGTCTAACTACTGAAATCTTTTTCCTTCAGGTTTATCACACCGAAATATAGCACTAAGTCACATTTGACCTGGGGTGTGGATCCCTTTACACAGCCAATCTCTGTCGGCGCCGGCGATCCTACACCGACGTTTCTGCCTGAATGCCGTTCATACGCTCGCCCAGCAACTTAAGAACACCTTATAAATTTTTTCCCCACACAGACATCTTTATTGTATCTATGAAATTATTAAGTTTACCGCTGGTGGCTCCTAAACCAATAAACTTAAGGAAACTTTCATTTGCTCAGTGGTGCGATGGCCAGCTGTAAACCCACCACACACACGATAACCCAAGTGTCCATACTGTTGGTCTTTACAGCGCACCATTGGCTACCCGTGATTGCCCCAGTCAGGGAGTGAACAGTCCTTCTCAGGGAGGCTTAACGCCCAAGGGGGGAGCAGAAGACTATAAATGGACCAGGAAATAGCTCTTCCCTTACAGCATATTGGGGGACCAGCACCCTAATGGGACTGCTGCCCCACACACACACACACACACACACACACACACACACACACACTAATCTCCAGACCCATGGAAAATTTCCCCAAAGTTTAAAACAAGAGCAGTATAAATATGGAAGGTTTTTGTTTTTTTTTTATTGGAGGTTTGATATCATGGCACTTGCAGTCGAGCATGTCAATGACATTCAGTGTGCGTCTTGCGGACTTAGAAGAAAAAATAAAAACCTTAAAACTAAAATATGGAAAGTGTCAAGTCACATTCCACAAACACGCGCACACACGCTCACATACACCCATTAAAACAAAAAAGTGCACAAGTGCAATTGACCACAGCGTGGATCCAAAATCTATGCTTTAAGTACTCTTTTGGTTCTTAGATCAACGCAGAACATGTTCCCGTTGGATTGGGTGATGCAAAACCCAGTCACGGTAGCACCTGAGTCCAAATGTGAGAGAGATCCAAACAAAATGCTCTAAACCAAGATCTCACACTCACACGTCATTTAAATGCACGTGGAATAAATGGAGCCACATTCTGATCCATTTCAGCGAGACAGGACCAGAAGCGTCAAAATAAAGACAACAGCCTTGCTACATCAGAACAAGGAGAGGCAGGGTAATGCTTAAAGCCTGCATGAAACAGACCCATTTGCTATAGTTAAAGTGTCTTCCTGCAAAAACTCAGAAACGAACTCGGCAGTAGAAAAGACCAAAAGTCCTTTGACTCCACTTCCGATCCACCATGGAGACTTGCGGCAGCAAGGCATAATCAGGAAACGATGTAACTGGCATCAGAATCTTCATACGAGTGGCCTCTCGGGGTTTAACCAGCAGGGCGGCGCCCTTGAGGCAGGCTGTCAGCATGTTGTTATATTAATTTTGTGAGCATTTAACCAAAGCAGACGGGCTTTGCTGCAGCAACACAGCCATCAGCCTCTTTTCGACTGGCACTTGGCAGAAGACAAGAACCAACTTCCTTCATTAGTTCCTTTACTCTTGTTCCAGCTCATGGTCAAGGCTTCTGGCAGCAAGAAAATTTTAAAAAATATATAATAAAATAAAATCCCACCACAACCAAAATTAAAACTCGGTTGTCAAAGTCGTGAAACACGTAGCATAGTTCAGGGTGTAGAAGTCTGGGACGCCACTCCAGGTTTAACCAGCAGGGCGGCGCCCTTGGGCCAAGTCAGGTTAAGGGAAGGCGGGTCATCTCAAGTGATTGGGGGACTTGGTAGGGAGTCTGCTTAGGGAGGGGGAGGTGGTGGGGCAAGACTCCCTGTGCTGCAGCTTGTATAGGAGTTCCTCTTTCTCCTGCGTCAGTTTCACATTCAGCAGTTCCGTCTGCTCCAGGTCCTCCATCAGGCGGACTTGCTCCAAGGACATCTGCCTGTGAAAGGCATTTGGAGAGGTGTTCAAAAAGCAGAGTCCCATCGCGCCATTAATAGTGACCATTATTACTCAAACCATTAAAAGGAAAAAAAAAAAAAAAAAGTGGTGGTTTCCAGCAAAGCCTGTTACAGCGCTTTAGTGAAGCAGAGGTTCCCAACAGTGACAACATGAGAGCACAGGTAAGAAAGGGGAAAACCAAAGACAGGGCGCCCTCTAGTGTCAAACTGAACAGCACTTACGGGCATAACAGATGACGCATTTAATTAGGAATGGGCTTTAAACATATCTCTAATGTACCCTACTAGCACAAGGGTGCTCAGAAACACAGACTTACTGGATCTGGCTTTGGTAGCTATCGCTGCGCACACGTAGGTCCTCGTTCTTCTGGAGAATGCCGACTGCTTGGTCCTCGAGGGATCGGTTCTTTGCCGCCTGCAGTTGATTTTTGGACAGACTGCATTAAGCTCCAACAGGACATGACAGCACGAGGGGTCATTTTGGACTGACCAAGTTAATACAAACTCAAGTTACAGTGGAGAATGAAGAAACAGACATTATGGTCTGTCAGTTAGAAATATAATGATCTTTAAAGCTTTAGAATGGGGAAGCTGCTTGTCAACTGAGAGGTTTGACAGCTACCAGTATTTCCATCTGCCGCAGCTTCTTCTCCTTCTTCTGTAAAAGCTCACTCTTCATTTCTATGACAAAGAGAAGGCTCTCCAGCTCCTGTTCCCAGAATTCTCCTGGGCTACCCTGCGCCTGGAATGGGAAAGCAGCCTGGGTTCAGGAATAGGGAGGCAAGTTCACATAGACTTAACAGAAAACTTTAAAATTTCAAAAGCAGCTGTTTTTAAACAGGTGAAGACCCTTTCCCGCTGATACTCAAGCCCACAAAAGTGTACCATTCGTATGAGGTTCCTCTCATTCCATCACAGAACTGCAGGAAGGTACAGTGAGTTTTGTACCTGAATATTGCCGTTGAGGTCTCTCTTCAGGGTTGATTCCGCCACCCTTTGCTTTAGATCATTGAAGGCCTTCAGCTCGGAAGTCAGCGCCTCCACCTGGCCCTACAGCCCAGCCATACAAAAGTATAAGTCACGTGACTTGGCCAGAATCAGCACGACAACCACTGATGGGCCTTCTGAAGGTGGCCCCCAGAACCTCCCCACACACACACACGCACATACACACGCACACACACCTCACCTGCAGCGAAACCTCAGCCACCTTAAAACTGTCCCTCATGGTGTTGACCTTTTCATCATGTGACCGCTGCAGATCTGCAGAAATGAGATGATCACAATTAATCATTCCTCCAGTGATGAGGAACCAAACCACTTAAACATCACAAGAATACATCCGAACAGCTCGTGGACAGGAGGAGGGATTTTCTGCGTCGAGTTGCTCTTACTTTCAATTTTGTCACTGTGCTCTTTGGAGAGACGCTTGATGTTCTCCTCAAACTGAGCACTCAGCTCTGCTGTCTTGTCTGCGGTCACCTGAAGTGTTAAAACCATAAAAAATGAGCATGTGGGATTTCATGCAGCGCAGCGTTTTCGGGTCGGGGAACCCAAACTATTCAGCCCACGACCTCCAGATAACAAAAGTGCCAGAGACTTGTGACACCCATTCGGGTGGAATTTGCCGACTGGGGAGGGAGGGGTCTGGAAATCATCTCGCGACCCCCCCTAAATCAGGAATCCCTATTTTAAGGAGCCCTGACTGAAAGGTACAGGGGTGGCCGGTGAGAAGGGGCCAAACAGGAAGAGCCCCTCGTCACAGCCAAACAGCTGCGCATACGTCACATGACTTCACGCCCTCTGGTTCTTGGTGAAGAACTTGTATGGGGGCACACCTCGGGGTGGGGGTGGTCAGAGGTACCTTCTTGAGGACATCCAGGAGCAGTGTGAGGAGCTCGTTCTGCTGCACCTCCTGCGGCATCTCCAGGCCCTCAGCACTGGCCGCCGTCAGGAAGCTGCGAACCATCTTTAGCTCCTGCTCTGGGAGCCGGTCCAGTGTGACCTGAACTGGAGCGGCACAGAAATGCTGGCTCACTGCCAGAGCGGACCAGGCCGAACCACAGGGACACTGGGCACAGGACCAGATAACAGACACACCACACTGTAGAGGGGAGGCCCCCACAGCACAGACGACTGTCACTCCCCATGGGAGAAGTCCTCACCTATGTAGCAGTACATCTAAACATCTACACACTGATGTAAACAATCACCACAGATAACAGCTGAAAGGGAGAAAGGTGATTACAGTTCATTTTGACATTGCATATTCCTCAAAATCACAATATTTTGAATGAACTTTATTGATCCCAGAGGTAAATTCCAGTGCACACAGCAGCGAGCATGAATGGAGAAGGTAGTAAAGAAATCAGCCCACCCCTACAGAGAAGAGCAAGTAATGCTTTTGTTTTTGACAAAATAAAAAACAAGTCAAACACTTTCATACTTAATTACATGGGGGGACTGCATTCAAGCCAGGGCAAGCTTGTAGTTGCACCACTTAAGAAAAAAAAGTGTAAATTATAATCCTCTGAGAAGCAAGAGTAGAAATCCATCAAAATGACAGCAAGCGAAATTACGAAAAAGACGCACAAAAGTCCCAGAGCCGCAGCATGGAAAACGTGTCAGACACTGACATGCAGGGTGATAAACATGAAACAGATGTGTAAAGTGCTTCTTTGATGACAAGCACGCTAAATAGGCCACGAAAAATCGCCTCAGATGACACTGTTAAACAGAACTGAAGAGAAGAGTTCTTGCTGAAATCTAGTTCAGCACGTGCTCTGAAGCGCTCGCCCACACACAGCTGCAGCAAGAAGCGCTCACCGCTCCCCTGCTCCCGGCCATCCGGCTCCGAGAAGGTCTTCCCGTTTTTCTTTGCCTTGTTCTTCTGCAAGACAGAGAGCAGAACCGAGTAACGTAAGCTGCGGGGCGTGGGACGTAAACAAAAACGGTCTCGGTGGGGGGTGGGTGTGATTTCTAAAGGCCTGGGATGTCATGCGGAGACCATCCGAAATGTGCGGGTTTCACATTGAGCACAGAGTAGCTACACCACCTACATGACTTTTCAGTGTTACCCTCTGGTGTCCTTCACTCTCCAGGGACGCAAAGCTTCCAAAATCACGTGGCACCTTATTTATAAGCAATGTTTCAATCTTCCTGAGGATCCAGGTATGAAGACCTGAGTGCATCTGGATTACAAGACTGAAGCACCTCTTCCGGCTGAATTTACCATTGTTTTAATTGTCCAAAATGTAGTTATAGGAAACGCACGTATGAAATTATATGGAAAACATTTTGTTTCGGAAAGTTTTTATTAACATTTGACACTTTGTTATTGACCGCACATTTAACATAACTCGTATATACAGCTTCATCATACCGAAAAAGGTACCGCCGGCCGTACTGTTTACACAGCCCATGCCTGTCGGCTCCTGCGATCCAGCCTCGAAGTTTAACTCTCGCATGTGCAGTTCCACCGTTTGGGGGTTAGGTTTTAGAGGATTGGGTTATGGTTAGGGTAAGAGTTTTAGGGGTTTCTTTTTTTAGGGTTATCGATTAGCACTACGGTAGATTAACTCGACAAAGTAGCTCAACTCGACAGAACACCGGCGAACTCGATCGCTCCGGCGGATCACAAAGCTTGCGGAGGCTGGGAGCCCTCAGGACCGCTTGTTTACCGTGTTGCGTCACGAAGGCGCCCTGCGGCTCCGAACGCAACCGGTTACCGCGAACCGAACGCGGCCACAAGCCCCAATTCACAATTAGCTCCGCCCCATACACACAATTCACTTAATTTGGATTTCGTTTCTCTCTAATAGTTTGATATGTATGCGGTAGCCTACTGGACAGTGAATGAGAAAAAGGAAACATTAATACCTAAACTACTTAAAACACAAAGCCTTTCCTAAACTTTATTTTGCTTACCAATATTTTAACAGTTCTTGTTTATCATCTGTGCCTGATTATTTTCCATATGCTGGGGCAAGTTAGCCATAGTGTATGCCTCCCCAACAAATATTCCCACCAATCCTGTTTACACTGGAAATCGGCTGACACCGTATGAGGTCATACCATAGCTGGAGACGCCTGTATAAATCAAAGCGAAAACAAACATCTCTGCTTTAATTGTATATTATTATTTTGCAGGAGTCCCTCTCCAAACACTTAAATCATTAAAAGCCAAAACCACCAGAAACCCTTTACACTACAATACTACGTTTAGCACCTCGTTTGCTTTATTTACAGAAGAACAGACTCCTCAGGTTTTCAACCTTCAAGTTGAAGAGCTTCCACCTGCAAGACCTCACCCACTGCGAGGCAGCAGAAAGCAAAGCCATCTTTAAAAAAGCTTTAAAGCAAGATTCTCGTTCACGGTTGACTGTTACATTCCGGTCCGGGACATTCCCCCCCACTTCGTTCCGAAAGCCCTTCTTGAAATTAGCAGTTTCTCTGTTCAGGAGGCCCTTAAATTCCAAACCCCACCTCTGCCTTTGCCAGGCGCGCCTCCCGAGCGTTTTTACGAGCTGGTTCATCTGCGCTTCGGAGGTCTCCGGGTGTCCAGACGCGCTCCGATCGCCACTTGCTATGCTGGGTTTGTAACCCCCCCCCATCACTCCACATGCCTGAGAGAATGATGGCCCTCGCAGAACAACTTAAAAACATATTCAAAAAAAGTGTTCCGGTGTTCTGTCATAAAATACTACCTATCGAGACTTGCTATCGAGCCTTTCTGCGCATGTGCAGTTCCACCGTTTTGGGATTAGGGTTAGGTTTTAGGGGTTAGGGTTAAGGTAAGGGTTTTAGGGGTTTTGGGGGGTTAGGGTTAGGTTTATGAATAGGGTTAGGGCTATCGATTAGCACTAAGGCAGCACATATCGACACAACACCACCCCCAGTACAGGCCTATAAACGATGAGGCCAAAGTTAAGGTTAAGACTATTGACTGGAGTCACACTGATGGCGAAATTTACAATTGCAATTAAGATATTCATACCATATTAAGTGTAATTCTTTGAATACAAGGCTTGCCAAAACTTACAAGTACTGAATGTATCTGATTAATTAAAAATCTGAACGCAGCCCACGCAACGAAATAAGCGGCTTCGAACCCTTTAGGCATGGAGGACAGTGTTCATGTTTTACTGGGTTTTCTCCGGTGTCAGGAACAGCCTTTGACATGAGCATTTACGCCACCTCCTTTGCTTAAGCAGAGACAGCTTCTTTATACCAAACCTATCCTGTCACAAACAAAGAGATGTGGTTAATAACGTATAAATGATCCTAAAACGAGTATAAACGACGCCAATGTCCTCCTGTCAACGTCCCCTCGCCCAAGTCCCGCAAAGGGAAGCCGCACAGTGCCGGGGTTTAATATATACATTATCACACGATTACGTTAGAAGTTGCTTTTTAAGAGAGAACTTTGTAGTTGTTCTAATAATACAGCAAGAAAGTGCGGAAGAGGTTCTGAACCGTTAAACGACATTATTCAAGGCGGAAATGCAGGCAAAGTAACACAAGTTTAGGTTAAACAAAACATTACAAAAATGTTACTAATCGCAAGCGAAATAAGCCTGGAATACGGTTTTTAAACCATCAGATGCAATGAAAATCTCTAACACAGGCAAGCAATCAATGCTTAAAACAAGTGATAGGAAAACGTGGCTGCCATCGCACATCTGTTGCACATTAATGATCAATCTTTCACTTACAGCGTGTAAGACCAGTAAATAACGAAACTTACACAAATACACAATAAAAAGCAAATTGCGCTTTAGAGAAAGTTATATGCAATTACATGTAAAACAAGCAGATTTCCAAATAGTTTGATGGGTGTTACACACTAGACGATACAAGCTAACAAAACACGTGCATAATGACCTATATCCTTTTTTAAACATCTCCAGAACAAATGAATACAGATTCGTCATACCGAAAAGCAACACTGAAAAGTCACGTTGGATATGGGGTGCGGATACCTTTTTCTTGCCGACCTGACCGCCGGCCGTACTGTGTACACAGCCCATGCCTCTCGGCTGCTGCTGCGATCCAGCCCCGAAGTTTAACTCTCCAAGACGTCCGGCGAACTCGATCGCTGCGGCGGATCCCAAAGTTTGCTGCGGCCGTCGGTGCGACTCGCCGCGTGGACTGGGAGCCCTCAGGACCGCATGTTTACCGTGTCGCGTCAGAAAGGCGCCCAGCGGCTCCGAACGCACCCGGTAAATCGGATTGAACGCGGCCACAAGCCTCATTTAGATTTCCGATTGACCCCGCCCCACAGGCATAATTCATTTAGTAATAAAGGGTTCTGCAACTCTCTGCAATAGTTTAATGTGTCTCATAAATGATAGGTGGTACTGGACAGTGACGCAAAAAAGAAGCTTAACTATTTAAATGAGGAATATAGAATATATTGAAGATTATTTTAATGGTAATGCTTTTACAGTGTGCTAACCTAAACTCCTCCTCCTCTGGAAACATTCCATTACTTCTTATTACATACTTATTTATACCACCAAGTCAAAGTCATCAAAAAATATATTTCGATTACTTTAATGTAGTAGCAGATTCAACACATCACCAAGTTATTGTGCAGTTTGCCGAGTTTTCTGTAAATAATACGCCGAGATTTCAGAAATAAAATCAGGAATGACTCGGCGGTGTACAATGTACTGCATTGTACTGTGTGTGTGTATGTGTGTGTGTGTATGTATGTGTGTGTGTGTATATATATATATATATATATATATATATATATATATATATATATATATATATATATATATATATATATATATATCTCCCCCTATGGGGGGAACTCCATTCCCACCATGATTCCCACTCTTACCCAGCTTCAATTAACCTTAACCGTGAGTTAAGCTTGGCATTTTTAGTTTTTGGATTGCATCTTGGTGGGGATCTGAAAAATTGTCCCCACAATCTCAAAATAAGTTTTTATTACATTGGGGGGAACATTTGGTCCCCACAATGTAATATAGACATAATCCACACACACACGCACACACACGCACTCTCTCTCTCTCTCTGTCTCTTCACACAACAAAATCTCTAGATTTTAGGTTCTCCTGGTTCTGAATTGTTTTCTTAATCAACCACCACCTGAGTAACTGGTTACTTTTACTGGGATTTCTCTCTGTAATCATGCAGCTGCTTTGGGGTGAAATGCTCATATAAAAACTATTACATAATAACTACAGATATTAACTGAATAAAATAGCTTTAAACGGATGTTAAACATTTAGAAAATGTGCCAATGTAAGACATACCTTAGTAACGCAAGTATAGTACTTAGATCAAATGTCCAAAAAGGTCAGTAATTACATGTTGGTTTTGCACATTCCTCACTGAAAACAATGATTATACAGAACAAATGACTATTCTGGTTGCTTCTGAAATAATAGGTATAATCCCCAATTGGGAATAAGCAACTGATCTACCTTTAGTTCTAATGATAAGGTCTATTCTTTTCATTTCCCAAAAAGATGTCTTCCAGGTCCGTTCACATGTATGTCTTGTTGAGCCCAAAGTGCTGCTGATTGTAACAGTTGATAGATGACAAGGTGACTATTTTCAAAACTATGTGGAATTTCTTCTGTGTAACTGTAACAGAGTGCAGAACCAGGTGATGTTTGGGTGCACAGAGCAGCCGCTGAAAGGGCCCTCAGTTAAGGAGAACTATCACATAGGTTTTAGGAATGAAGCCTGGACCAGTAACTAGAGACAGAGAGAGAGAGAGATAGAAAGCGAGAAAGACCGAGAGAGTGAGAGCAAGAGAGACAGACAGAGAGAGCAAGAGAGAGACAGAGAGTGAGAGAGAGAGAGTCAGAGAGACAGGCAGACAGAGTGAGAGAGACAGAGCCAGAGAGACAGACAGACAGAGTGAGAGAGAGACACAGTGAGAGTGACAGACAGAGAGAGCGAGAGAGACAGAGTGTGAGAGAGACAGAGAGTGAGAGAGACAGAGCCAGAGAGACAGACAGACAGAGAGTGAGAGAGAGACAGAGTGAAAGCGACAGACAGAGTGTGAGAGAGACAGAGAGTGAGAGAGTGAGAGCAACAGACAGAGAGAGCGAGAGAGACAGAGAGTGAGAGACAGAGCCAGAGAGACAGACAGACAGAGAGAGCGAGAGAGACAGAGTGAGAGCGACAGACAGAGAGAGCGAGAGAGACAGAGTGAGAGCGACAGACAGAAAGAGCGAGAGAGACAGAGAGTGTGAGAGAGACAGAGAGTGAGAGCAACAGACAGAGAGTGTGAGAGAGACAGAGTGAGAGAGTGAGAGCGACAGACAGAAAGAGCGAGACAGTGAGTGTGAGAGAGGGAGCACAAGAGAGAGAGAGCAAGAGAGTGCGAGAGAGTGAGAGAGACAGAGAGCGAAAGAGACACAGAGAGAGCGAGAGAGACAGACAGACAGAGAGAGGGGGGAGAGAGAAAGAGAGAGGTAAAAAAAGAAGATGGTGGTGTTTGGGGTGGGGTAGGCCTGCAGAGGGCCTTATCACAGCAGGCCGCCGGGCAGCATGCTTGGCATATCTGTAGAATAAGTGCTTCGTTTATATCCAGCCAGGCTGCTCTTCCTACAATCCTTCCAAGGCTTATAAGGAAGGCAGTGCTTCCTCGTACCAAGGCCAAGCCCGTCAGCGAAGGGTAACCAGCTACACGCCGCTCCCCCCACGGGCGGGGACCCTCTCTGAGACGTGCCTGCTGGAATCGTACCCCCCCAGTGAGGGGCGCCGGGGTGGGGTAGCAGTGTGAAGACTGGAAGCTGGGGGATTGTTAAGTAGCACCCCCCCCCCCCCCCCCCCCCCCCCCCCCCC